CGGGAACATAACCACACAAGAATATAACCACACGGGAACATAACCACTCGGGGACATAACAACACGGGAACATAACCACACGGGAACATAACCACACAAGAATATAACCACACGGGAACATAACCACACCGGAATAGAACCACACGGGAACAAAACCACACGAGAACATAACCACACGGGAACATAACCACACGAGAACATAACAACACGGGAACATAACCACACAGGAATAAAACCACACGGGAATATAACCACACGGGAACATAACCACACAGGAACATAACCACACGGGAACATAAGCACACAGGAACATAACCACACAGGAACATAACCACACAGGAACATAACCACACAGGAATATAACCCATAGGAATATAACCACACGGTAACATAACTACACGGGAACATAACCACACAGGAACATAACCACGCGGGAACATAACCACGCGGGAACATAACCACACGGGAACATAACCACGCGGGAACATAACCACACAGGAATATAACCACACGGGAACATAACCACACAGGAATATAACCACACAACATAACCACACGGGAACATAACCACACGGGAACATAACCACACAGGAACATAACCACACAGGAACATAACCACACGGGAACATAACCACACAGGAACAAAACCACACGGGAACAAAACCACACAGGAACATATCCACAGGGGAATATAACCACACGGTAACATAACCACACAGGAATATAACCACACAGGAACATAACCACACGGGAACAAAACCACACAGGAACATTACCACACGGGAACATAACCACACAGGAACATAACCACACAGGAATATAACCACACAGGAATATTACCACACAGGAATATTACCACACAGGAACATAACCACACAGGAATATAACCACACAGGAATATAACCACACGGGAACAAAACCACTTAGGAACATAACCACACAGGAACATTACCACACAGATAATCGCCATACATCCAACAAGGGACCAGCGTACACCTCCCGTGTGTTCCAGGCCGTCAATCATCTGTAACACCTGGAATCTATGGAGAGGAAACGCCTTAGAATAGATTCTTCAAACTTTGAATCGTCAGTGTCATAGAACTATTTATAAAAAAAACAATTCTGAATTGTGCGTCATATTGTTAATTTCTTTTACCTCACTACCGAGTCATTAAAAAGAGATTGATGTTTACATAAAAACTGTTAGGCCATCAGATGATTGCTAACCACACTCTTATAACTGATGACAAACAAGATAGGACTTATTCTTTGTTGTTTAACACAGCAATATACATCCGATGTGATGCCGAGCTAGAGCCAGACAAACCAGTCACCGATATTATGAGCAATCTCCTCACCAGACCCGTGAAGATCCGGGGTAGAATAGGTCTTCAGCAACCCATGCCTGCCGTAAAAGGCGACTATGCTTGTCGTAAAAGGCGAAAAACGGGATCGGGTGGTCAGGCTCGCTGACTTGGTTGATGCATGACATCGATCCCAATTGGGTGGATCGATGCTCATGATATCAATCACTGAATTGACTGGTCAAGAATCGATTATTTACAGATCGCCGTCATATAGCTGGAATATTGCTGAGTGCGGCGTTAAACAACAAACCAGTAACAACAACAACTTATATTTAGGAGATTATGGTATTGGAGTTTTATAATGTTATATGTACCAACCGTAAATTGTAACACGGAACCTTGTAACATCTGATTTGTAAAGATCGTTATGAAATAAGCATCCAAAACGTTTGTGAACATGCTGTCTTTTGAAAATTCGAAGCGGCGTATAACCATATTCACTCAATCACTACAACATTCAAAGCACCAGCAAAGCTTTTAAAACGTGTTGTGGTAGATGTGGAGGAACCCAATTGCGGATGTGGAGGACATTTCCATGAGTAACAAATATGACCTCCGATGTTATTCCCTATTTTAACTTGAACCCTATGTTCCCATGCTTTTCCAGGGGAGCAAGTGACTTTCCTTTTCATCTGTTTGAGGCAGAGCAAACATCTAGAACAATCCTTGTCAAAATTGAACTGATGTCACTTTGTTCACGACTGGGAGATGAGTACTGTCTATTCCTGGAAGACAGTCGCTACTGTTCCTCATTCAATTTCAGTCAGGGGCAACCTCTTCCTACAAGACCCGTGAAGATCCGGGGTAGAATAGGTCTTCAGCAACCCATGCTATCCGTAAAAGGGACTTTGCTTGTCGTAAGAGCCGACTAACGGGCTCGCTGACTTGGTTAGAGCATGTCATTGATCCAAATTGCGTTGATCGATGCTCATGATATCAGTCACTGGATTGTCTGCTCAAGACACGATTATTTACAGATTGCCATCATATAGCTGGAATATTGTTGAGTGCGGTGTAAAGCAACAAACCAACCAACCAACTCTTCCTACAGGAACAAATACCACTCAGCGAGAGTGAGCGGGACGTGCATACAAAAGAAGCGTGCATACAATCTTCGAAAGTGACCTGTACAAGAGAAGATATACTGGACCATTTGCTTTGTTTGTTTGCTGTTGTTTAACGCCGCACTCAGCAATATTCCAGCAATATGAAGGCGGTCTGAAAATAATCGAGTCTGGACCAAACAATCCAGTGATTGACCTCATACTCATATCCCCCGCCAATAATTTTTTTTTGTAAAATCCCGAACTATCAAAAGGCACCAGTTCACCACTAGACCTATCAATGTACCAAATTTTGTTGAGATATATCTCATGGTTTTTTTAGTTCGGCTCCGGAAACGAAACGGTCGGACGGACAGCACCAATTGGTTGGTGTAAAAAAAATACATCGCAAAACACAGTAGATGTCATTACACCACACATTCGACAAAAAAAGATGTCATTACACCACACATTCGACGATAAAAGATGTCATTACACCACACATTCGACAATAAAAGATGTCATTACACCACACATTCGACAATAAAAGATGTCATTACACCACACATTCGACGATAAAAGATGTCATTACACCACACATTCGACAATAAAAGATGTCATTACACCACACATTCGACAATAAAATATGTCATTACACCACACATTCGACGATAAAAGATGTCATTACACCACACATTCGACAATAAAAGATGTCATTACACCACACATTCGACAATAAAAGATGTCATTACACCACACATTCGACAATAAAAGATGTCATTACACCACACATTCGACAATAAAAGATGTCATTACACCACACATTCGACGATAAAAGATGTCATTACACCACACATTCGACAATAAAAGATGTCATTACACCACACATTCGACAATAAAAGATGTCATTACACCACACATTCGACGATAAAAGATGTCATTACACCACACATTCGACAATAAAAGATGTCATTTCACCACACATTCGACGATAAAAGGGGTGACTCAAATTTTCCAGTCTTCAATTTCATGTGGTGCTGCATTACAAAGGGGCATTTTCTTATTAGTAGAGTCGAAATGCGCGAAAAAGAGTTACGTCCGTCAGGCGTGCCAGAAGCCTATGATTTGAGGTTCGAATCCCGGTTTGCCATTATTGTTTCTTGGTTTATCGACATCATACAAGAGACGGGAGATTCTATTTTACTGTATATATGAAAATAATGTTTTAATAACCTGACACGTTCTGATATGTCTGAAACACTGTTCAACGCGGCGTTCAAACAACTAACGTACTCCCTAATATGAAATCTGGCATCAAGCTTGTGGAGATCAGAGTGAGTGAGTGAGTATGGTTTTACGCCACTTTTAGCAATATTCCAGCAATATCACGGCGGGGGACACCAGAAATCGGCTTCACACATTGTACCCATGTCGGGAATCGAACCCGGGTCTTCGGCGTGACGAGCGGACGCTTTTACCACTTGGCTACCCGACCATCCCTGTCGAGGTCAGAGGTTATATGACACATTATACTTGTGATGTCCTCTCGAAACACAAGTTGCTGGTCCAAGGCCTATTGTTGAAAGTCCTTTATTAATGGAATGTGAAATGTGTACATAGGAAGGTGATACATGTAACAGATTGTCAAGACACACGACATACAATGATATACATACAGCAATTCAATAATCCAGAATGTAACAATCTCTCTGTCTGTTTGGTGTTTAACGCCGTACTCAGCAAAATTACAACTATATGACGGCGACCTCTCGATAATCGAGTCTGGACCAGACAATCCAGTCATTAATATCATGAGCATCGATCCACCCAATTGGGATACGATGACATGCACCAACCAAGTCAGCGAGCCTGACCACCCGATTCCGTTAGTCGCCTTTTACGACAAGCATAGTCGCCTCTTACGGCAAGCATGGGTTGCTGAAGACCTCTTCTACCCCGGATCTTCACGGGTCTCATATTGTAACATTGATTGTCTCACCAAGGTACCGTATAATGAACATGGAACCCGTCACGTCAAGTATACTTCTTGTTTTGTAGCTTGAGCCACAATAAGGAAACAATCATCATGACGGAGAAGCATATAGGTGAGAAAGAACCAATGGTAAGTACAAGCTAGTATATAATGTGACTACATCCATATCTATATCATTCGGTAGCAGTATTTATGGTCTGCCCAAATAAGAGTTGAAATGCATACACGCCTTACATTGCACCTTCAACTTGGACTTTAAGGCAATCATCAAGATGGCAATACTGCTTCATGGTAGTAATACTGCACACGATAGAGTATAATATGACGTTGCTGCAGATTCAGTAATCTCAGGTCATCTTCCCGGGGCAAGGGAGTTAACGAACTGTAACAGGTCCAGTTTCCACCCCTGCCGAACTAGGCTGGGATTCCAGAGTTACATTTTGGCTGGAATAACGAGTCTATGCATAGTCTAATCAGACTACACAGCTAGTAACGAACTAGACATCCGGTTCGCAAACAACGTGTATTTCAACGTGCAGATTTCGGCCGACAAAACATGCAAAACATGTGTAGTGGGAGTCAACAGATATTTCATTTCATAAATCATTTCATGTTTTCAATCAAGTTGCTCAAATGATTTGATGCACTTCGCTAGGTAAGACCCATTTTATTACAATATCGATCCTGATTATCGGTCAGATTGTCTTGACTGGGGGCCGCCAAGTGATATACATTTGTAAGTGATATGAGAGGTGGAATCTGATTGGTCAATAGGAGGGACGTAACTGATAATAGCCCGTGGGGGCGCTACGATCGAACCCAGAAATTCCAGCCCTCGCCTAAGGAAGATGATCTCAGGTACGCCTTTTATGTGAACCTTAACTCGATATGGTAAACACAACATGATAATACTGCTCAATGGGAGTAAAGTGGATCAAAAATAAAATTAGAAACCATTGTAGTGCAACGTTCATATTTCAGCATATGCCTGCATAATAATACATCTGTTATGCACAATATATAAGCGTAACCCTTAAGTAGGTATATATAATTGTCAATAATATATGGTATTTAAAAATGCCATCCACACAGTGAACAGGGCCATCCGTGTCAACAACGGATGTAATCATGGCTTGTATTCAGGATTATATTGTAGTATTATATTATATATCAGTATTAGTAAACTGCCTGCACATAATTATCGCCTCTACACAACTTATGAAAAATTCGGAAAAGAATTGCACATAGAAAGCGAGACAATAAAAGCCTACAGACACATCATGATGGTTACGAGCTAAAGATTAAAATTCTTCAAGGAAAGTTCATGTCACGATTAATTGCTGTGCGTAACACAATTTCAACAGCGACTATTCGCAATTGAAAAATGAACTTTAAACCTCTTCCTACGTATTGCACGTACATTTATGAGAATCTTTTTCTACACGTCTCAGTTTGTTGGTTTACATTCATCACGTCAACGCCAGAGAAGAGTCAGTCTCGGGTATCTACCGAACCAGATTCTACTGAGCGGACATAGTGGCGAACATGATGTGAATGGATCACTGAAAATCAGTGATTAACACCTGGTGTTCGAGAAAACACAACCCCTTAAATCAACCCCTTCATGGCGATAATCACACATAATCCCCTATATTTGATAATCGTGTTTTACCAAACTACCATACCAGCTGATGGATGGTTAGACTTACATGTAGTCACAGAAATAAAGTTATCTTATTTAAAAATATATATCTACAACATAAAATAAATAAAATCCAAATGGAGCCCAAAACAATCCCTTATTTCATTGAGGCAATCTAGACTTGCCAAATCAATCTAGACTTGAGTCGGACTCCTGTTTTAATTTATTCTCTAGGCTCTGTGAGACAGACAAATGGATACTATGTTATATGTTTTCAGATACATTGACGTAAACGAATCATCGCTATCGCCCATCGCTATAGTCCACTGCCCAGTAGCAAGGCAGGCAAGTTAAAGTATCAATAGATTGCATCGATCCTGCGCCACACTACTGATCGTATCTTAAAATAGATCAATGCCATTCCGTAAGTATACCATTCGTCTTGATCGCAAATACATTTGCTTGGAGAAACGTGTGTGTCCATTAGAGAAATATGTAAATTTATATCAGATAAAAATGGGAAATACACACATTTATATCATAATAAAATAAGAAATACATAATTTCATATCGGATAATAATGAGTAGTGTCACCCTTACTCCCAGACTTCCACCACAGCAGGCTACTCAATCCAGGATTTTTACAGATATTATTATATCGATCAGTGCAAGGAAATCCTCACGGGAGAAAGGCAGTCATTAAACTACTGTAATACTGCTGCAAAACGTGTACCTATATTGTAGTGTCACTTAAGTGTTTGAATTTTAAAAGACTATTAATATGCCCTTGACAGCCACCCACTAGAGTGTTGTAGCACCAAAAATGTTCATTTTTGGATCCTTTCAAATAAAAATGACAAAACTCTTTCCATATCCAAAAAGCAGAATGCATTGTACGATTCGACTATATAAAGAGCATGTGCTTATGAATCACTATCAAACTAATGATGATACCAGGTGTTCGCGATAAAGTGAGCGTGTCCTGTCCCACCGGTGGCACACGTCACAAACACATGCAAACGCAGGTAATTTGTTTACCACAAAGACCACGGTCCTGCTATTTTCTGTACAAACGAGTACTTAACACCTTGCTGTTCATCCTAAAATATGTAATGAACAGCTTTATCAGCCCTGTCCGGGCACATCTTTCATATGGTCCTGAGATTGTTCCTCCTCATGTTCTACATCCGCAGCATCCTGACAGCAGATGCTCTGCTGATGTTGACGCAGCATCAGTATCTAGAAAGGGGCATGATTGGTTTCTGTCTTGGTACCCTCCTGTTGACAGAAGAGAGAAATAATTAATACACGTGCAATAGGTGATAAACGTGAAATAATAATGCACGTGGCATAAGTAATATACTCGTTCGTGACATGAGTAATAAACTTTAAATAAGTAAAACACGTGATACAAGTAATGCACGTGGCATAAGTAATTCACGTGGCATAATTAATACACATGACATAAGTAATACACGTGAGACAAGTACTCAACGTGACATAAGTAATACACTTGAAATAAGTACTACACGAGAAATAAGAAAGAAACATGAAATAAGTACTACACGAGAAATAAAAAATAAACGTGACATAAGTAATACACGTGAGATAAGTACTGCACGTGACATAAGTAATACACTTGAAATAAGTAAGAAACGTGAAATAAGTAATAAATTAAACATGAAATAATTAATACACGTGACATAATTAATACACGTGACATAAGTAATACATGAGAAATAAGCCATAAACATGAAATAAGTAATACACGAGAAATAAGTAATAAACATGAAATAAGTAATACACGTAAAATAAGTAATAAACACGAAATAAGTAATACACGAGAAATAAGTAATAAACATGAAAAAAGTAATAAACATGAAATAAGTAATACACGTGACATAAGTAATAAACACGAAATAAGTAATACACGAGAAATAAGTAATAAACATGAAAAAAGTAATAAACATGAAATAAGTAATACACGTGACATAAGTAATAAACACGAAATAAGTAATACACGTGACATAAGTAATACACGGCGGTACACAACACGCCGCCAAGCAGTTACCTGCAGTAATACACCGGGGATGAGGAGAAGACCCTGAGGAGGAATTCCCTGTTGACGCCGCTCTGGTAGGTGGAGGGGATGACGATGTATCGGCCTGGCTTCACCCTGTACCGGAACACGCACTGCAGGCGGGGGTAGTAGCAGTCCTTGGCTTCAGTGTCCCTCATCTTGGCCACGTAGAACATCCTCGACCTTTCACTGCCCCTCGTCACCTGGTGTAAATAAACGCCACCAAAACCATTTCCATAATCAGGAGAAATCGCTACTAAAAGCAGAGTCCGTTGTACGATTCCGACAGTAACAAAAACATGTATTTATGAAACACTATCACATAGTGATGTACCAGGTGTTCGCGAAAAGGTGCCTGTGTCCCGCTCCATGGGTGACACCCGCCACAAACACATGCAGAGGCAGGTCAATGGTTCAACCGATAAAAAGCATGTGAAACAAGTCAAAATAGAGATGTGCTTTATTTTTGTCACTGATGCGTTTGACCATGTGTCCGTGATTCAAATCATCTACATGTATAAAGTGGTTTTCAAACATACACTTAAGAATTGACTTTGACTTTGTGCGAATTCTTTGGAGTAGAAACCTTGATATTATGAGGGCGGAAGTGTATGAATGTCGGATGGTTTGGATCCGTGCATATCTCTGACATATCCAATGTATAATAGAACGCTGACTTCAAGATTAAAGGGTCTAAATTATCAGAAACGAGGCTTCTGTATCTACATGTACGTCCGCTGGGGAATTCCCAGGGGGTTCCACAGAAATGTGGATGTAGTCCGTCAGTGTTTACGTCATTTCAAGAATACAGTCTCTTGAAAAACGTATGAACGTCAAAATGTGTCATGTGACCGTCTTTCCAACTCACCTTGTACAAGTCACAACGTATAGCGTCATAGTCTAGATGATGAGCTTTCTGTATTATTTGTACAACGACAGGAACATATCCTTCATCTGTTACCCCTGACAACGAAAGTTCATGTTTCAAGCACACTGATCAAACATCGGCAAATACCAAACGAGCTTTGTGGAAACGAGTCTGTGAATGATATGACAATATGCGTATTTGGCCTGGGGATGCTATTATTTCAGAATCAATGTACCAGGAACAAATCACACGTATCTATGAGGTTCGAGTACATACATATTATTCACATACCCATAGCCATTTTTAAAAAAAAAAATCGATGAAAGTGCTTCTAAATGTCAAACAAACTTTAAACATTTTTAGCATCTCGTTTGTTTGTTGTAAAACGTAGCACTCAAGCTGACTAAAGGCGGCCTGTAAATAATTGAGTCAGGACCAAACAGTCTAATGATTCATTTGGTGACCAATGATAACACGAAATCAGCCAGGGCCCACTTGCACAAAGCGATCTCAGCGCTAAGATCGCTTTGTGCAAGTGGGTCCTGGTCATCAAGCCTGGCCATCCGATACATTGGTCGCCTATTACCACAAGCTTTGTTTGCAGCGGATTTGTCTATGAAGAGCAGAACAAACGACAGCCAAATACCTTATGTTCAAATTCAACAGGAGGACGTCATATTGCTTCAACTGACCCATGTATTTCGAAAAAAAAATATATGACATTGTTTCTATATCATTTAACAAAACCTAAATACAATTAATGTTAATAAGACGAAGTATATTTTTTCAGTACAGACCAACATGTCTTTCGCAAGCGAGTCTGTAAAGTAAAGTGAGAATATAACTACTGTAAAGTATAAACAGCATTCAGCATGTACTGTAAATCATGTACTGGTCTAATGCAGCTGCAAAGATGTATCGACACACGTTTTTACTGCTAATTCCCCTTGGCTTTATGTCCAGTACATGCTGGTTTAAACATACAACATACAGTGTAACGATAGGTAGTTTTAGACCACTGACGATCCGGGTTCGAATTGGTCTTCAGCAGCCGATGCTTGTCTCCCCCGTAGAAATCCGGGTTCGAATTGGTCTTCAGCAACCCATGATGCCGTAAGAGGCGACTATGCTTGTCGTAAGAGGCGACTAAAGGATCGGGCTGTAAGGCTCGCTGATTTGGTTGATGCATGTCATCGTATCCCACTTGCGTAGATCGATGCTCTTGATGTCAAACTCTGGATTGTCTGGTCCAGATTCGATTATTTGTATCCAAATTGATTGGTTGATGCTCATGATGTCAATCACTGGATTGTCTACAGACCGCCGTCATATAGCTGGGATATTGCTGAGTGTAACGTGAAACAACAAACAAATAAAAATCTAATCACAGAATGGATTCAGAAGGGAAGGAAGAAATATTGCATTATTGTTATTCTACTTAAAAGCGGCATATTACTTTCAGCGGCATATAATCAAACTCACTCACTCTGGAGCCTAACCACCGAACCATTGAGTCGTAGGTTGCTAGGGACCAAGTCGAACACCCAACGTGAATTAATCAAACAAGTTTATGTTCTGCAGTTTATGGTTCTGGATCCATCATTAATATCATTACACCATTCCACCTTTAAAATCACACCTACCTTCTACAGGAACTGTAAAAGCAAACCGCGGATTTCTGACACGATCCCTCAGTGTGCCCCCTTGACCCACCCCTCCTCGCCACTCCCCAAATATCCTCAGTACATGATCTGTAAAATAACAAACATGTCAGAGAAACATATACCGTAAACCATGACTTATGTAAACTGCCCGGCAAAAATAAGCACACAGACAGTTTGATGTTAACTTAATATGAAAGTTATACAAACATGGTTATTCGATGGTTTGTTGTTCGTTTGTTGTTTAACGCCGCATTCAGCAATATTCCAGCTATATGACGGCTGTCTGTAAATAATCGTGTCTGGACAAGACAATCCAGTGATTAATATCATAAGCATCGATCCACACAAATGGGATCGATGACATTCATAGTTGTGTTTTGGTCCTAACGTTCGAGTGTTTCGGCGACTGTTTCTGACTTGTAACGTTTTCATAACGTTTGGGTCAAATCCAGCTTTCAAGTGTACACTTTCGTTTGCCCTGCAGTTTATACATAAGCAATATAACGTACAATCAGGACTCGTAAACGGCGTATTAGCTTATAGGTAATACTGGATTTGTTTTGTATCATGATTAACGATAGTTTCTTACTGGAGAGTAGACTACCATTCAATTAATCATATTGCATGCACTGCGTCACCATTCGTTACATGAATGGGGTTTTATAAAGAATATTCCTAATTACCTACAATATAAATTACTCACTGAGGCCATCTGACCTTCCGTCAATGTCAAAGTCTGGAGTTAGCGAGCAAATGGTAGTTTGAGCAAAATAATGGAGGAAGTCTTCCAAGCTTATCCAGAACTCTCCATCATTTTTGTTTCTTCGTATTAGGTGTCCGTCGGACACGTCCCCCCACTCACTGCTCCTGGAAAACAATGTTTAAAGGCAAAATTGTAGTCTTGCGGCTGAAAAACTAGTTCCACAAAATTTAAAACCTCAACACAAGAGAATATCACTTATCCGCCGAAACAGATTCCATTGGGTGGAAATTACATGAATGGATCACTTAAAACCAGCCACCACTCACTACTAAAACCATCCTTCTGAGGACAAAATGATACATCTCTATATATGTTTGTTTGTTTGTTTGTTGTTTAACGCCGCACTCAGCGATATTCCAACTATATGACGGCGACCTCTCGATAATCGAGTCTGGACCAGACAATCCTGTGATTGACATCATGATCATCTACCCACGCAATTGGGGTACGATGACATGCATCAACTAAGTCAGCGAGCCTGACCACCCGATCCCGTTTGTCACCAAGTATACATCGTATGAAGCATTAGTCGCCTCTTACGACAAGCATAGTCGAAGCATCTCAATATTTGTACCTCACACTTGAAGGTGATGAACTTAAAAAGATAATAGAATCACTAACTTGTCGCTCCACTTTCCCTGCCATTCATTTGTCCCATGTGGGTTACGTATCCTCACCAAGGGGAATTTCTCGCCGTCACGTTTCGTCACCTTTGAACATATGTTGCAGTAACAAAATCAAGACGAGGTACACACACAAAGCGTCTTCCCGTGGCAAGGGAGTTAAATAACTATAAAAGTCCAGTTTCCACCTTGCCGAACTAGGGTGCAATAATGGAGTGACATTTCGGCTGGACTAACGAGCCTATGCATAGTCAAATCAAAATTGGGTAACGAACAAGACATCCGGTTCATAAACAACACGGATTTCAACGTACAGATTTCGGTCGCCCGAAGGATTTGCAAAGCATGTATACCGCCAACTGGGCGTCGACAGATATTTTACAAATTCCTTCAAGTTTTTAATCAAGGTGCTCACGTGATTTGATGCACTTTACAGGGTAAGGCCCGTTTTATTACAATATAGATCTTAATTATCGAGCAGATCGTCTTGACTGGGCGCCGTCATTTTGTTTGAAGCAAATGCAAGTGATATGAGAGATGGAATCTGATTGGACAATAGAAGGAACACAGAAGGGACATAACTCGTAATAGTCAATGGTGGCGCTAAGATCGAGCCTGGAAATTCCAGTCTAGTTCGGCAAGGGTGGAAACTGGACTTCTATGGACAGTTAACGCCCTTGCCTCGGGAAGATGAACACAAAGGTACGTGCAGCCATACTTCATCCAGACGATGCCCCGATAACTCAAATAGAACCTCGGCTACCACTGGCAGGAATCCATCTTGTAATTAGTATAGTGCACGTGACTATCACATCACACAACACTCTGGTGGCAGTCGTGAATCTTATATAACTTTTCAAGTTGTGATCGTTCGCTTTGTCTTCATATCAAAGTGTTCAACTTATTTCTTATTTCTGTTCAGTACAGAATTAACAACCCAATGGACGCCATTTTATACATCTGGCGTTGCTCGGCTTACAGTGATTTCATAGAATATCTGCAGCAGGGTAGGCCGACTGGACCCAACACCCAGTACGTGGTAATATACTAGTATAATGTTAGTTTGTTTGTTGGTCGGTTGGTTGTTTAACGCCGCACTCAGCAATATTCCAGCTCTATGACGACCGTCTGTATATAATGGAGTCTGGGCCAGACAATCCATGGATTGACATCATGAGCATCGATCCACGCAGTTGGAATATGAAGACATACATCAACCAAGTCAGCCAGTCTGACCACCCAATCCTGTTAATCGCTTCTTACGACAAGCATAGTCGCTTTTTACGGAAAGAATAGTTTGCTAGAGACATATGTTACCCCGGATCTTCACGGGTCTACAATGTTAGTACTTCAATAGTCACATTCGATTCCCGACATGGGTACAATGTGTGAAGACCATTTCTAGTGTCCCCCGTCGTGATATTGCCAGAATATTACTAAAAGCGGCGTAAAACCACTCACTCACTCACTCACTCACTCACTCAATAGTCACAAAAGTAAGGAACAACCAGATATCTACCCATGGGGGAGTCGAACCCACACACTTGGCATGATGACCACTTAGGTACCAACAAGCCTTAAGGATGACATTGAAGAAAGGTATACTCCAATTATGCAAATGAAATAAATGTGCTTTTTCTCACATTATTTTCAGTTATTATTGACGAAAATTCTTTAAACTTTACCATATAGGCTCCTGTCAAGGAATAGGCATGTCCTCCAACCAGGCCTATCTCGCCATCGAATTCGGGCTGAAATAACAAGGGTTTTTTAAATACCATACAAAACTACAGCAGTAAATGACAGAGATAACAGATAGGAGACAAAGGATTTCACCTCACAATTGTAACCTGTGGTCTGTTTACAGGACGCCGTCGCACGGTAGGAGTACTGCTGTGAGGTGTCAGACAACAAACAAACAATTTTTGGTGCAAATTATATGAGTGGCGGTGCTACCGGTAAGGCAAGGGCAGTCTTACCTTTTTCGAGAATACCTGGTGTCATTACTGATTTTCGGTGATCCATTCATGCACTATACACCATTTAGGCGGATAATCGAGACTTGTTATTCTCTGACGTTGACGCGCTATAGTTGGTCCAATGGTTACCAAAGACTACTTTTTGTTGCTTAACGCCGCAGTCAGCAAAAGAACATCACGAATAATTACAATGCATCCTGCGAGGTAATGGTCGTCTATAAGAGGGTTATTTGTTTCTACCCATCAATTAGGTGATGTATGCCATGTGTATGCCCCTATCGCGATATACCTGACAAACATTGGTTCCTGGGGACTCTAACCCGGAATCCCTCCATCGTTCTAGTCAAAGGGAACTACATATTGTATTTGTGTGTTGGTTTGTTTCTTGTTGAACGGCACTCAGCAATATTCCTGCTAGATGACGGCGGTCTGTAAATAATCCAGTGATTGATATTATGAGCATCGATCCACCCAATTGGGGTACGATGACATTCATCGACCAAGTCAGTGAGCCTGACCATCCGTTCCCGTTTGTCGCCTTTTACGACAAGCATAGTCGCCGCTTACGACAAGCATGGGTTGCTGAAGACCTATTCTACCCCGGGTGTTCGCGGGTCTCATATTGTAACTCTATGGTGGAGTGAGTGAGTGAGTTAGGTTTAACGCCCCTTCCAACATTAATTACATCACGGCGTGTCAGTTCGATACGCAGGAGAGGGAGAAGGGATGGTCTTAGACGATTACAATTTAATGAAACCCACGAGCACAGGAATTGTGCTGACCTAAAAACATAATGAGGGTGAACTTGGATTCGAACCCATGATCGTAGGTTTCTGACGTGCCTAAGCGAACACCGCTGATACAGCGCCTTGGATCACTCGGCACCTCATAACACCTTATAACACCTTATAACGATATAACAGGCTTAGAAACCGTGACGTAAACTGTTATAAGGATACTTACAGGAACCGCACAAGTGACCAAAGCCCCGGTATGAAGGGCGTTCCTGAGACGACGGAACAGCTGGTCAGGATCGGGATCATCGTAGTCAAAGCTGACCTTCTCCGCCACGGCCCCTGTCAGGGTGAGGTAGGCGTCACTGGGGTAGCCACCCTCATCGCTCACCACGTTGTAGGAACCATGAAGCCTAAAAGGCAGATATGAATTCAGTGGCACAATTGCGGATGCAGATGGTATGTTGAAAAACATCATCTTTAATCCCACATCCTGCCACGACCCAATGACTGTTTCGTATTTGTTTTTATTACCCATAGGGTTTGTAATGACTGAGTTCAGTAAACTCGTATGTGCGCGAGTGCAAATATCACTTCACGTTCACTTGTGCATTGATTACGTCAGCCGGATTCCATTGTTGACCTGATTCGAATCGTATTGTGACGTAAGTTTAGAATGACGTCACACTTTTAATGACGTCATTGCTGTAGATTCATGGCGTCATTAGACGATGGTGATTTTTAAAAAAAAAATTATTTTATTTATTTATTTTTTTGTTGGGGGGTGGGGGGGGGGGGGGGGGGGGGGGGGGTCGTTCTCAATGCATTTTGTATAAAGGGAGAGTTAAAAAAGATTTAGAAATAATGGGTAATGAAGACATTATTACACTCGCATGTGTTTCCATACTGATTTCAAGAAACTCGTCTGAGAATTCAGTTTATTACCCTCGTTCTCGCTCGGGACATACAAGAATTCTCACATTCATTTCGTAAAATCAGTATGATACACTTGCTCGTATAATAATCTCTATGAATGATTTAATAAGTATCAAATAGACCATTTGCCTTATGTTCAAACGTCTGTGTTTGTTGTTCGGCGCTGCAGTCAGAAATGCTGCTTGTTTGGCACGGAAACCATAAGCTGTTTGTTTAAGAGTGCACATCAACCAAGTCATTGAATCTGACCACCGGGTCCATTTTAGTCTCCTCTCCGGCAAACAACAAAGAGTACTATGGACCAATTCGAACCCGCGTCCCCGTCGGGAAAAATGAAGCATTTAGTGCAAATTAGACAATTAGCAATGTCTGGGCATTGGCGTCTGATCGATGACCCAGCTGGTTACCTGGCCAGGGACTTCTCCAGGAGGGAGACCCACATTTCGTTGGTGTCCGTCCCAGACAGTGCTCCGTACAACTGCCTAGTGCCAGCAAACACGGGGAGATAGTCGTCCATGTACACGTCTTCCCACTCCCCAAACCTCCACAGTCGACAGTGACAGATCCCGTCAGTTCTAGGTGTGTATGAATCCTCATTGATCACCTGCAATATTTTAATTAGATCAAATACTGTCATAGAAGTGTCTTGATAATTAAATATATGACTGACTCATTACCAGACCATTTTTGTATAATGTGTTGTATCAAATGACACGTTGTGATGTGTTACCTTCCTACAGAGGTCCGGTTTGTCACCGAGGTTCGCCATCATTGACAAGAACCAACATGTTCCAAAGCTCCGTTGTTTGATGTCAAATCTTGATGTCCCATCAGCAAAGAGTACAGGATTACGAACGATTTCCTGTTAAAAATGAAAAAATAACAGAATTAAGAAGAGAATAGAGATGCGGATCATAACAATCCAGCCGCATCCCTGCATCAGTGTAATTCTAATGTTTATACATGTTTGAAACACTGTCAGAAAACGGCCCCTTTAGTTTGGAGAACACCGCACTCTTCGGTAAGTTTATAACACTCGACCTTCATATTTGAGGTCTACATCGGTGGAAAGTGAAGGTGAAGTGCATTGGTCAAAATCACCTAACAGTATAAGAAGCGTCTTAGTAGTGTGAAGTCACTATAGCTTGATATTTGTGCAAGTTTTCATTAATCAATACAGCAAGATTCGAAAGCTACACTCATGTAATAAAACCTACTCACGTTTAGACTTAGGCCCTGTTCTCACAATATGAATGTATACAATTTTTTATCTTTCATTTTCTAAGAGAAATACTGAGTGCATACTTTCCCTACAGGTGACACCCGTCACAAACACATGCAAGGGCAAGTCAAGACTACAGTGATAGCCTAATCAGTATGGTATTATTACATGCGGTCTCTTCCAATCCAGTCGTTGCTTTGCGTATTCTTTTATCGCTATTGGGAGAGTAAATTCTTCGTCTGTCCACATCTGCCCAGGGGGAACTTCTGGACGGCGGGGCCTGTGGTCAATTAACCCCGATGACGTTCTGAAGTCCACCGTGTAGTGCTTCAAGTTCGAGCTCTCAGGGTCGTCTGTATATTGCTCTTTGGGGACCTGGTCAAAGTCGTCCTCCCAAGAGCCGTCGTTGTTGATGTCGTGGAAGTCATACTGGAAATCGCCGTCGTACGCTGAGGAGGTACACCCCATCGTGTGTTGTAACTTCAAATGTAAATATAAATTGTCAATGCAAGAGAAAAACCAGCCTAGATTATTTTTCGTTTGGCGTAAAGGGCAAAATAGTTCTGGAAATTATATAATTGGACTACTGAGAATCAGTGATGACACGAGGTGTTAATTCAAAGAATGATACCAAACTGTCTCATACACATTAAATTAAAAAAAATTTAGTTGTGGTTTTGTTGCTTAACGCCGCACATTATTCGAGCTAATGACGGCGGCCTGTAAATGTTGTGGGAAACGACCCACACCGCTGTGGTAAGACGATACTTCATCAACCAGGTCATGATCACCGAGCCTGACGCCCGATCAGTTGAGTTGCCTCTTACTACCAGCAGAGGTGGCTGGGGACAAGGGACCACTTGCACAAAGCGATCTTAGCGCTGCGACTATTGTAAACCTATGTTAAAGCATGGGAGTTATGATCATCTTAGCGCTAAGATCGCTTTGTGCAAGTGGGCCCTGTTCTAAACCCGAAATCCCCAGGCTGCTGCATGTATAACATATGGAGTCTAACCTCCCGATTCCTGCCTAAACTCGCTCTCACATACAGGACTGCTGGGAGTCTGATCTCCTGTCTACAATGGCCGATTGTTGTGGAGCCTATGGGGCCCTGATGTACCATGTGGCACAATGACTTTTGTACGTCATCATTGGGGGACATGTTAACTTCTTCAACAACATTGTCGGAAAACAGATGGGGAACATGTTAACTTTTTCAACAACACTGTCGTAAAGAAGATGAGGGACATGTTAACTTATTCAACAACACTGTCGTAAAGCAGATGAGGGACATGTTAACTTATTCAACAACACTGTCGTAAAGAAGATGAGGGACATGTTAACTTCTTCAACAACACTGTCGTAAAGCAGATGAGGGACATGTTAACTTCTTCAACAACACTGTCGTAAAGCAGATGGGGAACATGTTAACTTATTCAACAACACTGTCGTAAAGCAGATGAGGGACATGTTAACTTATTCAACAACACTGTCGTAAAGAAGATGAGGGACATGTTAACTTCTTCAACAACACTGTCGTGAGGCACATGGGAGACATGTTAACTTATTCAACAACACTGTCGTAAAGAAGATGAAGGACATGTTAACTTCTTCAACAACACTGTCGTAAAGAAGATGTATGGAAATGTTAACTTATTCAACAACACTGTCGTAAAGAAGATGGGGGACATGTTAACTTCTTCAACAACACTGTCGTAAAGCAGATGGGGAACATGTTAACTTCTTCAACAACACTGTCGTAAAGAAGATGAAGGACATGTTAACTTCTTCAACAACACTGTCGTAAAGAAGATGTATGGAAATGTTAACTTATTCAACAACACTGTCGTAAAGAAGATGGGGGACATGTTAACTTCTTCAACAACACTGTCGTAAAGCAGATGGGGAACATGTTAACTTCTTCAACAACACTGTCGTAAAGAAGATGTATGGACATGTTAACTTCTTCAACAACACTGTCGTAAAGAAGATGAGGGACATGTTAACTTCTTCAACAACACTGTCGTAAAGAGGATGGGGGACATGTTAACTTCTTCAACAACACTGTCGTGAAGAAGATGTATGGACATGTTAACTTCTTCAACAACACTGTCGTAAAGAAGATGAGGGACATGTTAACTTCTTCAACAACACTGTCGTGAAGAAGATGTATGGACATGTTAACTTATTCAACAACACTGTCGTAAAGAAGATGAGGGACATGTTAACTTCTTCAACAACACTGTCGTACAGCAGACGGGGGACATGTTAACTTCTTTAACAACACTGTCGTAAAACAGATGAGGGACATGTTAACTTATTAAACAACACTGTCGTAAAGAAGATGAGGGACATGTTAACTTCTTCAACAACACTGTCGTAAAGCAGACGGGGAACATGTTAACTTATTCAACAACACTGTCGTAAAGAAGATGAGGGACATGTTAACTTATTCAACAACACTGTCGTAAAACAGATGAAGGACATGTTAACTTCTTCAACAACACTGTCGTGAGGCAGATGGGAGACATGTTAACTTAATCAACAACACTGTCGTGAGGCAGATGGGAGACATGTTAACTTATTCAACAACACTGTCGTAAAGAAGATGAGGGACATGTTAACTTCTTCAACAACACTGTCGTGAGGCAGATGGGAGACATGTTAACTTATTCAACAACACTGTCGTAAAGAAGATGAGGGACATGTTAACTTATTCAACAACACTGTCGTAAAGAAGATGAGGGACATGTTAACTTCTTCAACAACACTGTCGTAAAGAAGATGTAGGACATGTTAACTTCTTCAACAACACTGTCGTAAAGAAGATGAGGGACATGTTAACTTATTCAACAACACTGTCGTAAAGAAGATGAGGGACATGTTAACTTCTTCAACAACACCGTCGTAAAGAAGATGAAGGACATGTTATCTTCTTCAACAACACTGTCGTAAAGAAGATGAGGGACATGTTAACTTCTTCAACAACATTGTCGTACAGCAGGTGAGGGACATGTTAACTTCTTCAACAACACTGTCGTGAGGCACATGGGATACATGTTAACTTATTCAACAACACTGTCGTAAAGAAGATGGGGGTCATGTTAACTTCTTCAACAACACTGTCGTAAAGAAGATGAGGGACATGTTAACTTCTTCAACAACACTATCGTGAGGCAGATGGGAGACATGTTAACTTATTCAACAACACTGTCGTAAAGAAGATGAGGGACATGTTAACTTCTTCAACAACACTGTCGTGAGGCAGATGGGAGACATGTTAACTTCTTCAACAACACTGTCGTGAAGAAGATGTATGGACATGTTAACTTATTCAACAACACTGTCGTAAAGCAGATGGGGGACATGTTAACTTATTCAACAACACTGTCGTAAAGAAGATGAGGGACATGTTAACTTCTTCAACAACACTGTCGTAAAGAAGATGAGGGACATGTTAACTTATTCAACAACACTGTCGTAAAGAAGATGAGGGACATGTTAACTTCTTCAACAACACTGTCGTGAGGCAGATGGGAGACATGTTAACTTCTTCAACAACACTCTCGTAAGGCAGATGGGGGAGCATAAACAGTGAACGCAGATACAATACTCATCCCAACGAAATTCGTTGTTAACGTATTGTTGCTCAAATAATTATAATTTCAAACTTCACAGAAAAGTAGGTTGCACAAATAGCCCAAGGATAAACAGTTCGTTTCTGGGTGATTTCAGGCTTCAATTCAAGACGAAGGTGGATGAATGCCCTACAATATCTTTTTAATCAATTTAGGATCAACGCTGACGCTGTTATCTCGCGTGTTAGCAAGTTTTTATGCGTGTCGCAACAGGCATGTCTATGGCAATTACAACTTCTTACAAGTTATCACATAGATAACGTTCTTTATGTCGATGGGTGCACATCACGAAAAGGTAAGGGAGCCAGCGGCGATGTAACAGCATTATCAATGGAGTCATTAGATCGTGAGACGTCTATTTTCGAAACACTCGGCTGCCGTGGCATAATAGATGGCGACATACTCAGTAGATAAGCCACATACATTGCCATTAGATCAGTCCTGTACACTGACAGTAGATCAGTCTTGTACATGGTCATTAGATCAGTCTTGTACACTGACAGTAGATCAGTCTTGTACATGGTCATTAGATCAGTCTTGTACACTGACAGTAGATCAGTCTTGTACATGGTCATTAGACCAGTCTTGTACACTGACAGTAGATCAGTCTTGTACATGGTCATTAGACCAGTCTTGTACACTGACAGTAGATCAGTCTTGTACGTGGTCAGTAGATCAGTCCTGTACACTGACAGTAGATCAGTCTTGTACACTGACAGTAGATCAGTCTTATACATGGTCATTAGATCAGTCCTGTACACTGACAGTAGATCTGTCTTGTACATGGTAATTAGAACAGTCTTGTACACTGACAGTAGATCAGTCTTATACATGGTCATTAGATCAGTCTTGTACACTGACAGTAGATCAGTCTTGTACACTGACAGTAGAACAGTCTTGTACATGGTCAGTAGATCAGTCTTATACATGGTCAGTACATCAGTCCTATACATGATCAGTACATCAGTCTTATACATGGTCAGTACATCAGTCCTATACATGGTCAATACATCAGTCCTATACATGGTCAGTACATCAGTCCTATACATGGTCAGTACATCAGACCTAAACATGATCAGTAGATCAGTCCTAAACATGGTCAGTAAATCAGTCCTAAACATGGTCAGTAAATCAGTCCTATACATGGTCAGTACATCAATCCTATACATGGCCAGTGCATCAGTCCTATACATTGTCAGTACATCAGTCCTAAACATGGTCAATACATCAGCCCTATACATGGTCAGTACATCAGTCCTATACATGGTCAGTAGATCAGTCCTATACATGGTCAGTACATCAGTCCTATACATGGTCAGTACATCAGTCCTATTCATGATCAGTAGATCAGTCCTATACGTGGTCAGTACATCAGTCCTATACATGGTCAGTACATCAGTCCTATACATGGTCAGTACATCAGTCCTATACATGGTCAGTAGAACAGCCCTATACATGGTCAGTACATCAGACCTATACGTGGTCAGTACATCAGTCCTATACATGGTCAGTACATCAGTCCTATACATGGTCAGTACATCAGCCCTATACATGGTCAGTACATCAGTCCTATACATGGTCAGTACATCAGTCCTATACATGGTCAGTACATCAGTCCTATACATGGTCAGTGCATCAGTCCTATACGTGGTCAGTACATCAGTCCTATACATGGTCAGTACATCAGTCCTATTCATGATCAGTAGATCAGTCCTATACGTGGTCAGTACATCAGCCCTATACATGGTCAGTACATCAGCCCTATACATGGTCAGTACATCAGTCCTATACATGGTCAGTACATCAGTCCTATACATGGTCAGTAGAACAGCCCTATACATGGTCAGTACATCAGTCCTATACGTGGTCAGTACATCAGTCCTATACATGGTCAGTACATCAGCCCTATACATGGTCAGTACATCAGTCCTATACATGGTCAGTAGATCAGTCCTATACATGGTCAGTACATCAGTCCTATACATGGTCAGTACATCAGTCCTATACGTGGTCAGTACATCAGTCCTATACATGGTCAGTACATCATTCCTATACATGGTCAGTGCATCAGCCCTATACATGGTCAGTAGAACAGTCCTATACATGGTCAGTACATCAGTGCTATACGTGGTCAGTACATCAGCCCTATACATGGTCAGTAGAACAGTCCTATACATGGTCAGTACATCATTCCTATACATGGTCAGTACATCATTCCTATACATGGTCAGTGCATCAGTCCTATACATGGTCAGTACATCAGTCCTATACATGGTCAGTACATCAGTCCTATACGTGGTCAGTACATCAGTCCTATACATGGTCAGTACATCAGTCCTATACGTGGTCAGTACATCAGCCCTATACATGGTCAGTAGAACAGCCCTATACATGGTCAGTACATCAGTCCTATACATAGTCAGTACATCATTCCTATACATGGTCAGTGCATCAGTCCTATACATGGTCAGTACATCAGTCCTATACCTGGTCAGTACATCAGTCCTATACATGGTCAGTACATCAGTCCTAAACATGAATTCACAGAACCTTTTCTCTGAACCGGTGCAACATGCTTGTGTCATAAGATATCTTGATATCAGTATACACCTAGTGTGTTCTGGATATTCAGGCTACACAGGGTTGCCAACCTGTTTCGTTTCCAGTCATTCAACACATGTTGTACGGGGACAGAGTCACAATAAACGTACGCAATATATAGGTGAGTCATGGGCACATTGATTCCATGAACAATATTAAAAACTGTACAGTTAGGCAACATTCTACATGACATACAGTGGGTTTACAAAAGATAGCAAGGTGACGTTACCTACCTTGCAACGATATCACAGTCTGGCTAAGTTCGACCGGAAAATACGCTCTGGATACCCGGTTAATGTGCATTATTTTACAGTGGATTTATGTTACCGTCTTATCGCTCTGTGCAAACAATGCCACAACGTATGCATGTCAAGGCTACATGCCTGCTTGACTGTCGAACCCCTATCACATTGATCAAGGCTTTTTTAAAGGTCCGTCGTGTCGTCACGATTCTCGTAAGATAATTCTGTTCTCGAGGAAGACAATACACTGAGAGAGTTACATGCAAAGTACTCTGTTATCAATGGGTTTTTTATATTTTCCATGCTGTTTAATTCAGTTTAAAAAAAAATGTTTGTTTCGATGTGAGTGAGTGAGTGAGTTGGGTTTAACGCCGCTTTTAACATTATTCCAGTTATATCACGGCGTGTCAGCTTAATGTGGGAGGAACGCCCCAAGTGATGCAGGCCTCGGACGTTTACCACTTCGGTGAAACCCACGAGCACGGGTGTGGTGCTGACAAACCTAGAAACATAATCGGGGCGAACCGGGATTCGAACCGACAATCATAGGTTTCTGGCGTGCCCAAGGGACGCAACTCTGCACAGCGAATCGCGGCGCCTTAGACGACTGGGCCACCCGTGCCCCCTGTTTCGATATGAAGTCGATATGGTAGACAATAAGTCTTTAACTCGTGGAAGGTACACATCTTAGGCAATAAATCTCTATCTCGTAGAAGGTAAGTATGTCAGGCAAAAATATTTAATTCATAGAAGGTACTTATGTCAGACAATATATATTTAATTTGTTCAAGGTACGTATTGCGGACAATACATAACTAAAGCGTAGAAGGTACGAATATTAGGGATCGGGTGGTCATGCTTGCTGACTTGGTTGATGCATGTCATCGATCCCACGTTGCGTGGATCGAAGCTCATGATATTAATCACTGGATTGTCTGGTCCAGACTCGATTACTTACAGACCACCGTCTTACAGCTGGAATATTGCTGAGTGCAGCGTAAAACAACAAACCAACCAACCAACATAATCACGTGCTGTTCTATTTGTTGGATCTCCCACTTGCAGATGTTCTGAAATTTCTAAGCACATACATAACTGTAGCATATTTTTTTCTGATTATTTAAGAAGGCAATCGATAATGTAACACTTTTCCAAAGAATGCATTTTCATAAAAATGACATGTACCTTTAAATATGAAAAGCAATATATATGAACATATTATTAAGAACAAATTTGGCAAAATGAATTACATGTCCAGTGTCCGTGGTGATGGGCGTAAAACCGAGGCCCTTTTCGTGCCTTGTCGATAACAGTAGTTTTGGGGAATCGAAATCAATATCGCATGTTAAACAAACATTAAACTGTTTATGGTTTAGATGCCTGTGTCGTTTTTGTTTGTTTAGCAATGCGTTTAAATCGTCCCACGCATTTGAAACTGAATAGCTTCAAAGTTGTATTTTTTCAGAACGTTTATTTATGACCAGGCTCACTATTCATGTGTGTAATATATCATATTACTTTTATATGATGGGGGGGGGGGGGGGTCAGAGTCTGGGGGGAGGGACATTTCATTAGGGACCCGTGAAGATCCGGGATGGAATAGGTCTTCAGCAACCCATGCATGCTGTAAAAGGCGACTATGCTTGTCGCAACAGGCGACAAACGGGACCGGGTGGTCAGGCTCGCTGACTTGGTTGGTGCATGTCATCGTATCCCAATTGCGTGAAGATCCGGGGTAGAATAGGTCTTCAGCAACCCATTCTTGACGAAAATGGCGACTATGCTTGTTGTAAGAGACGATTAAAGGGATCGGATGGTCAGGCTCGCTGACTTGGTTGATGCACGTCATCGTATCCCAATTGCGTGGATCGATTCTCACGACATCAATCACTGGATTATTTACAGACCGCCGTCATATAGTTTGAATATTGCTGAGTGCGGCGTTAAACAACAAACCAACCAACCAACCTGGCGCTCTGCATTAGGACCTAAAACAAGGACTGGTCGGCTCAGAGTTAGTATACGGTGTGTGAGTGGGATAGCATCTATAAAATCGGCAAATAAAATGTCAGTAAAGCGTAGGGCCTCCTCTACGTTGAATGCATTTGTACAGCGTCGCCTCCTCGACCTGACAAGTGTCCTTTGAGTTGCATGGCGGGCGGCTTGCCACTGTGCTCGGTGAAAGTGAATTAGCTGTTGATGATTTACAGGAGGAGCATGAACCCTTCGACCAAGGACGTCCCAAGGATGCTCTATTGGTGCCAGACCCGGGGAGTAAACTGTCCACTGCACCCTTACAATCCCATTTTGGTTGTTGAAATCTGTAAAAACACGAGCTGTTTCCGGGCGAATTCGTCCCGCGTCTCCCGTTCTCAATCCGAATCTGATCCGATTTGTATCTTCTGCATGGTAAAAATCGACCGAATCTGTCCCGACAGCGATCCGATTCTCCCGAAAACGATCCGACAGAGATCAGACAATGACCGGACAATAAACCGAAAAAGACGGATTCATGCCCGTTCATCACGACAGGGTACCGATCCACAGGACACCGTCCAGACAACACAGGACACTGTTATGATTTTGATCCGATACAGCAGAATCTGTCACGACATAGTCACGATTGTAATCCGACTAGACAAAATCGGCTGAGTTTCCCGAGTGTTGCGGGACGCACCATACTGCCGGGAGTGCTTTGCCGACCTCTCTGGACCTTTCCCGATCCGTAGGACTCTGTTACGGACGTACACGACTGCGTTCAGACAATGATAGGACATTTCAGATCATTGAGGATAGCAATCCGACTTTTTTCACTTTTCGTGTCGAAGCGCTGTCTGACCTCAAACGGGAGCAGTAATCGGCACTGTGTGAACCTGGCCTACGGTGAAATATGATCCGATGATTGTGCGTTCGAATCTGTGCCTTATCAGCATCATACATGTACTCCAGGGTTTCATCAAAGTGATAAACAAATAAATTATAGGACTGAATTCATAGTCTCGCTTTAAATGTTTTTTAGACCCGTGAAGATTCCGGAGTAGAATAGGTCTTCAGCAACCCATGCATGCCGTTAAAGGCGACTATGCTTGTCGTAAGAGGCGGCTAACGGGATCGGGTGGTCAGGCTTGCTGACTTGGTTGATGCATATCATCGTATCCCAATTGCGTGGATTGATGCGCATGATGTCGATCACTGGATTGTCTGGACCAGACTCGATTATTTACAGACCGCCGTCATATAGCTTGAATATTGCTGAGTGCGGCGTTAAACGAAAAACTACTAATACTTATATGTTTTTTATTTAAAGGGGAAGATGGTTGTATGTATATGATGCCATCTGAAACTCGCATGTTCAGGAGACTTTGCTACAATGGCGTAACACATTATTTACGGACCATGACGTCACAATCAAATGACATCACTAATCACTCTGCCACTGAAGCTGATTAGCTGTCATTTTTCACGGTCAAGACACTGGTTAATTAGTCCTACAACCTCACAAAAATGGATCAATTATTTTGGAATCTCACCCTTGTGTCTTTTAAATTAAACATATCAACACTCTTCAACAAAAGTTGAAAACTTATTTGCAAGGCTAAAAGTGAGCTTCTCTATGTCGCTTTAAGCAGATAAGCTATGTGTCATCTTCTAAACGTAGAAGTACACGTATTGCATTGTATAAGTCAGCAATGGCCCGCCCCTATCACAGCAAGGCGTATATAACTCCGGACTCTGGACCAGCGGTTGTCAGCAGTAGAAATTAACGAGCCGCCATGATACGTTGGCCAGCCAGGCTGCACATTTTAATCCCCCGACCATTACTCGCCAATTTTGACGAGCATGAGGACCCACTCCACCCTGTAATCACAACGGAGGATTTCGTCTCACTACGTAAATAATACCACAAAAAGGTCACGGTAAATTTATTCCTCGTCTATCTAAGCCTTTATTGCGGTGTAAGGCCCTTCCGCCAACTTCACAAGACAGATACATGATAAGCCTAACTAGCGTTTTCACTGGGAAGGACTTGTTGCCCTGTCATGGTACTGCTATTGGCTATGTGCCCTCTGCGTCATCCCAGAGTAATTATACCAGGTGACCCGTGAAGATTCCGGGGAAGAATAGGTCTTCAACAACCTATGCTTGCTGTACACGGCGACCATGCTTGTCGTAAAAGGCGACTAACGGGATCGGGTGGTCAGGCTCGCTGACTTGGTTGATGCATATCATCGATCCCAATTGGGTGGATCGATGCTCATGATATCAATCACAGGATTGTCTGGTCCAGACTCGATTATTTACAGACCGCCGTCATATAGCTGGAATATTGCTGAGTGCGGCGTTAAACAACCAACCAACCAACCCTGGGACACACATGTACAACCCGAGCTTCCTCTATAGGCATCTAAACGCAATACCGTTAACGTTCAACCTGATAGAACACGGACAATAATGACACCGAGCATGCTGCAACATATATATAGTCGTGAATATGTGTATGCATAGTTCATTGTTCCAGTGTGAATGTTACTCTCGGGGAGGATAAAAGGATGTTGAACACGTGAACTATCCCGACATCAAGCAGAACAATGACACGAAGCTTTACGAGGGTCACAGAGAGAGAGAGAGAGAGAGAAGAGAGAATATTGTTTATTAAAGTGTCACATGTTATATACACTTCGTGATAAGATATATACAAAACAGTAAAATATAACATCCGGCCAAATATGACCTACGAGACACTATAAAACGTATCAATCATAAAACAATTCAGTTGAAACAGAATAAAAAATGTAGCACACGTACACATACCTACGTGAAGCTACTTTTCAGCCACACGGAGGCGCGTACTCATACTTAACATACACCGCACATATACATACATCCATAGACACATATACATAAATACATACCTCCTGATGCAAGTCATACATACATACTTGGCTTAAAAATGAAATTGCCTTCTTTTAACCATGTTGTAAATTGATTTGGCTAAAATACATTGGAGCGATTCTTCGTTAATAATAAAAATAAACTTTTCTAAACTACTCATATAATGAAATGCTTTATCTACTGAAATTGCTTCTTTAGCCAAGTTGTATCTTAAATCATCATAAAATGGACATTCTAATAAAAAGTGACATTCATCTTCAACATAATTTACATGATCATTAATAGGATTGGCGTGACAATATTTACAAGTCCTATCCAACAGTGGGGTAGGTGGCTTGGCTTGGCGAACACGCTTATAACGAACTGACGGATATAACGAACTTACTTTTTTGTCCCTACAATTTGCTGTAGTTATGCTGTATATATGCCTATAACGAACTACGGTTACAACGAACTAAAATTAGTGGTCCCTTTGAGTTCGTTATAACCGTAGTTTACTGTAGTAGATACTTACTCAGTAATGTTAGATCCGGGGTAGAATGGGTCTCCTCCAACCCATGCTTGCCGTAAAAGGCGACTGTGCTTGTAGTAGAGGCGACTAACTAAATACCTTGTATTTTTTCAGAACTTTTATTTATGACCAGGCTCACTATTCATGTGTTTAATATATCATATTACTTTTATATGATGGGAGGGGGTCAGAGTCTGGAGGGAGGGACATTTCATTAGGGACCCGTGAAGATCCGGGGTGGAATAGGTCTTCAGCAACCCATGCATGTCGTATAGGGCGACTATGCTTGTCGTAAGAGGCGGCTAACGGGATCGGGTGGTCAGGCTCGCTGATTTGGTTGATGCATGTCATCGATCCCAATTGCGTGGGGCGATGCTCATGATATCGATCACTGGATTGTCTGGTCCAGACTCGAGTATTTACAGACCGCCGTCATATAGCTGGAATACTGCGTGGCGTTAGTGTGGCGTTAAACAAAAAACAAAAAACAAACATAGATATGCTCCAGTGTTAATGGTATGATATATGATGTCCACAGCTGGCTAAACTCGTGTTCCAGTGAGGCCCTACCTTCGTCGTTGTACCTTAGAAACCAAGCCAAGTCATTTGAACTTTTATTTTATAACTTATCACTGTGAAAAACCTAACAACAACATGCGAGCTCTGCCTAGAAAATCTAACCGGGTTTCCCTACATCCTGATACTATACATAAACATGATATGAAGGGTGATATTTCGTCAATGCGTAGGCGTATTTGTTATTATGTGTGGCATCGTAGGCGTAACCCGTGAAGATCTGGGTTAGATTTAGTCTTCAGCAACCCATGCCTGTCGTAAGAGGCGACTAACGGGATCGGGGGTCAGGCTCGCTGAATTCATCGTATTCCAATTGTATGGATCGATGCTCATGATGTCAATGATTGTCTGGTCCTGACTAGGATTCGCTATGCAGAGTTGCGTCCCTTGGGCACGCCAGAAACCTATGATTCTGGGTTCGAATCCCGGTTCGCCCCAATTATGTTTCTAGGTTTGTCAGCACCATACCCGTGCTCGTGGGTTTCACCGAAGTGGTTAACGTCTGACACCTGCATGACTTGGGGCTTTCCTCCCACATTAAGCTGACACGCCGTGATATCACTGGAATACTGTAAAAAGCGGCGTTAAACCCAACTCACTCACTCACTCCTAACATCGCTCATCACACCCGTATGTTGTCCTGTAGTGTCCCCTCCGTACTATCAATATTCCAACAATATCACGGCAGGGTTCACCAGAAATAGGCTTCACACATTGTATGCATGTCAGGAATCGAACCCGGTTCTTCGGCGTGACGAGCGAACGCTTTTACCACTGGGCTACCCCGCCGCCCCAATTTCTATGTAAATCTGTACACCTTTACATATGCCTCGTCGGCCGACACATACATAAGGCTGTCATTATCAAAAGTGATACACTTTGGTTGATTCAAACCATCATCAACAGTGAGAACATCCCTGACAAACTCCCCCACTTCATTGAGCTGTTTTACGCTCCCTCCACCGACAAAGAAGATGTCACTTCCGTAGCTAACTACTCCTGAACACTGTCCACAGTGTCCAGACGTAAATCTGAGTTCACCTTCGTTGCTGACACTCTTAACGCACCCTGGCTGTAAATCTGACACCAGTATACCGTTGGTCGGTAGTACCTCGATATAAGACGGAGTGGTGAACATCCCAAGACCATAGGAGCTCAGAACGGTTCCAGACATATCGATGATATCTACTCCAAATCCAAGCAGTTTACCTGCCACAATGGTAGTAGGGCTCAAGCATGCAATACTGATGTATTGCTTAGAAGTTGTGATGGAATCGATCTTGTTCATTGTTGGGAAGACTTCGAAAATTGCAATTTGGTTTGCAAAAGGAACAGAAACGGCCGCTCTGTCTTCTGTCAATGCTGTAATATTTGAGGGTGACTTTTCAAATTGGTAACCCTTCTGAAAAACACCATCGTATTCAAATTTCTTTAAAGCCTTGTTTCTTGTGTCCAAGACGAGGATTGTTTTGGCTGATCCTGACGTCATAACGACAATATCCTGCAAATGTACATCATCTGAATCCCTTTCTGTTTTGGTATTGATTTCGGTGATAAGAACCGGTTCTGACATTGCATCAATACTTTTCCTCTTACTTGTCATCAACTCCTCCGTGCGTTTCACAAGAACACTGTCCAGTTTGGGTAGAACGGTTCCAAGAGCAACAACTGAATCACATTTCTGGTGTCGTGTCGTGCAGCATCTTTGGCATGCAACCATGTCACAGTCTAGACATATTCTGTTCACGTCAACACCAGGGTGTTCTGTGCATATCCTCGACGCCCTTCCGGTAGTATCGTCTATACTACTAATTTGACTTATATTATGTCTTTTTGAACGTTTCCCGTGAACATACTGACAGTCTGAACATAGCCTCTTCTTACAGTCAGAACACCATACAAGCGCAGGCTTCTTACCAATTCCTTTACAGATATCACAAAATTGGTCATCTGGTGAAAAACGAAAATGGAAAACTGTAATGATAATGATATTTATGATTACACATCAGTGTTATATTATCATAACAACACATGACTTTTATGTCACACTCCTTTAAAAAATATCAGTCTGGACCAGACAAACCAGTGATTGATTATTTTGAGAAACGATCCAAGCCGTAGGGGCACGATGAGATGAAATCAACTAAGTCAGTGAGACTGTTCACCCAGGGGCGGTCGGGTAGCCTAGTGGTTAAAGCGTTCGCTCGTCACGCCAAAGACCCGGGTTCGATTCCCGACATGGGTACAATGTGTGAAGCCCATTTCTGGTGTCCCTCGCCGTGATATTGCTGGAATATTGCTAAAAGCGGCGTAAAACCATACTCTCTCACTCACTGTCCACCTGATTCATGTAGTCGCCTCGTACAAGCATGGTTGCTGGGCCCCTGTTGTGCAACCTCCAAGGGACTTTATGCCCGGGATAATTCTTTGAATAATACTGTAAGTGCAGAAGCAAGATAATGCTTCGTAATTCAAGAATCTGTTGTTTTTCTCACATCGGCGTGAACATAGCATGTGTTTATGTTTAAAATGCAAACCCAGGAAACTGTTTTAATGGATGATGACACTTTGAGTTATTTCGATTTCGTTTACATGTAAAGAGGTTTATTTCTAACTAATCAGAATGAAAGCACGGTGTGAACATTTTAAAGACAATCAAAGTTTCCAACCCAAAGTGCTATAAATGGATTCAAGAAATCATATTTTCGAAATGATAATAATACAATTTTTCACAAATTAAATAATATTCACTTTAAAAATGCCAAAAGACAAAAAATCTTCTTTCTACATGAAAGGTTTTCAACTAAAGTCATTTTCCTTTCGGGATGACAAATGACACATAAATGATGTTTCGCACCATCCTATGTACATACCATTCTCAGTCCCGACTATAGCTTCCACTAAGTTCTTCACAAAGAACCCCGTCTTGAGTTGCCCCGCCCACTCTTCTTCCGGCTCATGGGGGTTTGGTACCTGGGTCAGGCCACGGCAGTGTGGACAGGGCAGACACTTCTGTCCTGAAATGTGATATTTGCCGGACATAACTGGCCATGTCGCAGGTCACAATTTAAAAACATGGACATAAAACATTATTACTTCATCGAGAACGATGGGTTAGCCTTCTAGCGAAGGTGTTAGCTCGTCACGCCGAAGGCCTTTTCTCGATTCCTCCCACTGGCATAATGAGAGCTATAATTCTGAACCAATTCTGACGGAAAATGTAAACATAAACGTCTCGTTCAAGCAGGACATGGGGCGGTCGGGTAGTCTAGTGGTTAAAGCATTCGCCCGTCACGCTGAAGACCCGGGTTCGATTCCCGACATGGGTACAATGTGTGACCCCCATTTTTGGTGTCACCCGCTGTAATATTGCTGGTATATTGCAAAATTGCGGGGTAAATATGGAATGTCAAGGCCAGAGAATAACCAGTCTCGATTATCTCGCCGAAACATATTCCACTGTAAATTCACACTCACTCACACATTATTCCTTCATACATATTTGGACATGTTCCAAGGACTTGGCGGTTCGGAGTCAGTATACTGTGTGTGAGTAGGGTTTCCATGTTAAACCGAAGTGGTATCTCAGTGGGCTAGCCAAACTCGCAAGAAATTAAGATAAAAGTACTAACTACGAAGTCTAGGCCGATACTGAAAATATGTTTGTTTGCTTGTTGTTTAACGCCGCACTCAGGAATGTTCCAGCTATATGACGACAGTCTGTAAATAATCGAGCCTGGACCAGACAATCCAGTGATTGACATCATGAGCATCGTTTTACGCAATTAGGATACAATGACATGCATCAATCAAGTCATCGAGCCTGCCCACCCGATCCCGTTAGTCGCCCTCTACGACAAGCAAAGAGGCCTCTCACGGCAAGCGCGGGTTGCTGAAAACCTATTCTCCGCCCGGATTCTCACGGGTCCCAAAATATGTAGTAGAGTGTCCCTTTAAACTCTAAGCTAAAATAATATGTAGTAGAGTGACCCTTTAAACTCTAAGCTAAAATAATATGTAGTAGAGTGTCCCTTTAAACTCTAAGCTAAAATAATATGTAGTAGAGTGTCCCTTTAAACTCTAGACCAAAATATGTGGTTGATGCATGTCATCGATCCCAACTGAGTGGATCGATGCTCATGCTATCAATCACTGGATTGTCTGGTCCAGACTCGATTATTTACAGACCGCCGTCATATAGCTGGAATATTGCTGAGTGCGGCGTTAAACAAGAAACCAACCAACCAACAACCAAAGTATGTAATAGAGTGTCCCATTAATGCACCAGGAAGAGAACCGCCTTTGTTACATGGACAATGTATGTTGAATATCTGCCTGAATACCGAACAAAGGGTATGACGTCATCCACTTCCGGGACGCTACCCCTCGCGTCTAAACGCTTCTTCGCCGGAAAATTCCTTCCGTTTTCTATTTTTAGACAGCTATAAAAGTAAACTCTACCTATTGAATCGAAATTGATATGATGAAACGTCATTCAAACATTGGCGATAGAGGAGAGCGAGACGTATGAAAAACATTTCTTCGTGTTGGACAATATTTATGAACAACGCTTGTCTATATTCTGTGAATAGAGAGTAATTTCTTTTAAATATTATATAATTTTTATTATATAAAAATATCGACACAGGCCAAAATAGAAAATGAAAACTTATGCTTTTTCCCCACAACGTAAACTATCCATGGAATACACACACGTATTCAGGCAGATATACAACAAATGTAGGTGTGTACAGGATCATCGGTCTACGTACTCATGGCATCTTTCTGGGTTAGAGTGAAGGACGTGACGCACTTGGTGCAGAAGGTGTGGCCGCAATGCAGCGTGACAGGCTCCAGGAACACCTCGGCACATACCATGCAGGTGAGAAACTCCTCCATCAGTTGTTCCTTTGACGCCATATCTGAAATCACAATACCTAAAGGTGATACACAATTTTACACCCATACAGAATTTGTAATAAACTTTTAAAAAGTAGGGAGTCATGAAATATGAATGTTAATATTGATTGATTGTTTGTTGTTTAATGCCGCACTCAGCAATATTCCAGCTATATGACGGCGGTCTGTAAATAATCGAGTCTGGACCAGACAATCCAGTGATTGATGTCATGAGCATCGACTCAATTGGGACGACAAGATAGAACAAAAAGAAGTGGTGACGACAAACATCCTATACAAGAACGTTGATGTCTGTAAAACGTAACACCAAAACACATCCTATAGTAGGCACGTGCATCACGCAGCATCGCCACACACGTGGTGTTATTCCTAATTTTGACACTTTCAAGGAAGGTCGATCAGTCTCTGTGGACAATTATTTCTGTCAATCTTATTGATTCTGCTTATCATACAGTTGTGTTTTTCTTGATTTAGTTCACCGTTTGTGTATGAACTAGCGCGTACGGCGTCGGCAACGCGCGGAGCGTCTGCAGGCTATTGGCATGCTGGGAACTGCCAATTAGGGCTGGGACGAGTCCAATTTTACTACCCGGGTACTCACACCCCTATTACCCGACCTTACCCGGGTACCAACTGTTGGTGCCAAGAGGTACAAAATGTCCGATTGGGAATAGTTTGACAGTAGCCCTGGCAAAATGTATTTAGATACACGTATAAAACGATGTGGTCATGCATACACTAAAGTTGACTGACGTTTTAGCTTTGTTCAAACATATATAAGTCAGAAGGAACGTGTTCATAGTCATGAAGAAATGCGAACATTGGAGACTTAAAATTGTCGAGTAATCATGTATTCATACATGTCATGAAACAAAATATCACGTGACTAACCACGGGTCCGGGTAGTCCTGTGGGTACCCGGGTCCTACTAAGTACCTACCCGACCCGAGTACCCGAGTTACCCGTCCCAGCCCTACTGCCAATACGTTTAATGTTTCACAGTCTGTGTACAGCAGACTATGGAAGGGGCGGTCGGGTAGCCAAGTGGTTAAAGCGTTCGCTCGTCACGCCGAAGACCCGGGTTCGAATCCCGACATGGGTACAATGTATGAAGCCCATTTCTTGTGTCCCCCGCCGTGATATTGCTGGAATATTGCTAAAAGCGGCGTAAAACCAAACTCACTCACTCACAGCAGACTATGGAACGGTTACCATCAAATCAAAATGTCGACTCCGTTCAGGTCGTCCCAGGTCAACGACGAGAGCAACGGATCGATCAAGCCGAAACCAAACTCTACGTATTCGAGCGCAAACGGCGAAACAAATTGCTGTAAACTGTCATCAGGCTACTGGAGTACGAGTTACGGGTCGGATGATTGGAAATCGTCTTCAGACAGCTTATCTCCATGCACGTGTTGTGCAGCCCCTTACAAATAGTCATATTGTTAACAGACGTCAGTAGTGTACAAGACGTCGAAACTGGGGTAATCGTCGCTGGTCACGTGCCATGTTTTCAGATTAGTCCCGATTTATGTTGCACATCCTTGATAAGAGTGTTCTATCTCCCACAATCAATTGTTCATTAACGAAGTATCCAAGGGGTATCAATATTCATAATTGTATCGCAAAATGCCATTTCTAAAATCAGATTGTAATTATTCCGATTGTTGCGATTCTGGAAACAGTGTGTAAGTGTGTGTGTGTGTGTGTGTGTGTGTGTGTGTGTGTGTGTGTGTGTGTGTGTGTGTGTGTGTGTGTGTGCGTGCGTGCGTGCGTGCGTGTGCGTGTGCGTGCGCGCGCGTGCGTGCGTGCGTGCGTGCGTGCGTGTGTGTGGTTAGGTAGAGAGGTACGTCCGTATGTGGGATTATTTGTCAACATTAAAGCTCGCCGTGATATAACTGGAATACTGTTAAAAGCGGCGTTAAACACAACTCACTCACTCACTCACTCATCCATATATCTTATCCTTACTTAGTACTCCAACTTCTAAATGCCTCTCAAAGAAGTTATCACTTACTTCATTCGCAAGCCATCGTGATTTTCCATGCACTTGTCAAGTTTCTCCCAGAGCTGATGCTTGACCCAAACACCACAACTTTGAGGGTTTACATGCACAACTAACAAGTTTCATAATTCACTGTTCCTAAGATATCTTAACCAAATACCAAAATATTTACACGAAATATTGACAAAAAATAACCAGGAAGTGCGATTATAGCAATATTGCATCCGTGTAGAGGTTTTCCCGCGACATGCATTTCTATGTGATCATGAGTACTGATATGAATGTCTTTCCGTGTGTGTGTCTGTGTGCGTGCGTGCGTGCGTGCGTGCGTGCGTGCGCGGTGGCGTGCGTGCATGTGTGTGACTGTGTGTGGTTAGGTAGAGAGGTAGGTCCGTACGTGGGAATGTTTGTCAACATTAAAGCTTCTCACTGGGTATATAGCACTGACCTGTATCTTCTACACCCAGTTAATTACTAATTTTAACAGTAATCACAACATACTAAACGACGACAACAATCAGATAAACCTCAGCCACTACAACGACAATAGAACCCGTGAAGATCCGGGGTAGAATAGGTTTTCAGCAACCCATGCTTGCCGTAAAAGACGACGTCGCTTGTCGTAAGAGGCAAATAAAGGGATCGGGTGGTCAGGCTCGCTGATTTGATTGATGCATGTCATCGATCCAAATTGCGTGGATTGATGCTCAGGATGTCAGACTCGATTTTTTACAGACCGCCGTCATATAGGTGGGTTCGGCGTTAAACAACAAACAAACAAACAACGACAATAACAACCTAAACCTTAACCACTACAAATCACAACAACATCTACAACAGCAACGACAATCGCAACACCTACAACAACCACAATAACAACAAATCACAACATCTACACCAGCAACGACAGTCTCAAAACAACAACAACAACCACAATCACCTTAACCGCAGCCACAACAACCACAATAACAACAAATCAGAACCGCAATCAGAACAACATCTTACAAAAACAACCACTCTCACATTCACAATCGCCGCAACAACACTCACAAACAGAACAGCCACAACCACAAGAGAGTAGATATGTGTATGAACTAGACTCAAACATCACTTACTTCATAAGTAAGGATAAGATATATGGATTAACAACTTCTTTATTATAATCAGGATAATCGTTTCGGTGTAGGTTCTAACACCGTTATCAAGCAAGTCAATCACTTGCTTGATAACGGTGTTAGAACCTACACACAAACGCAGATCCTTATTGTAGTAAAGAAGTTGTTCATCCATATATCTTGGGGCAAGGTTGGCCCAGTCGTCTAAGGCGCCGCAGTTCGCTGTGCAGAGTTACGTCCCTTGGGTACGCCAGAAACCTATGATTGTGGGTTCGAATCCCGGTTCGCCCCGATTATGTTTCAAGGTTTGTCAGTACCATACCCGTGCGCGTGGGTTTCACCGAAGTGGTAAACATCTAAGACCTGCGGGCTTTCCTCCCACATTAAGCTGACACGCCGTGATATAACTTGAATACTGTTAAAAGCGGCGTTAAACACAACTCACTAAACTTAGTACTCCAACTTCTAAATGCCTATCAAAGAAGTTATCACTTACTTCATTCGCAAGCCATCGTGATTTTCCATGCACTTGTCAAGTTTCTCCCAGAGCTGATGCTTGACCCAAACACCACAACTTTGAGGGTTTACATGCACAACTAACAAGTTTCATAATTCACTGTTCCTAAGATATCTTAACCAAATACCAAAATATTTACACGAAATATTGACAAAAAATAACCAGGAAGTGCGATTATAGCAATATTGCATCCGTGTAGAGGTTTTCCCGCGACATGCATTTCTATGTGATCATGAGTACTGATATGAATGTCTTTCCGTGTGTGTGTCTGTGTGCGTGCGTGCGTGCGTGCGTGCGTGCGTGCGTGCGTGCGCGGTGGCGTGCGTGCATGTGTGTGACTGTGTGTGGTTAGGTAGAGAGGTAGGTCCGTACGTGGGAATGTTTGTCAACATTAAAGCTTCTCACTGGGTATATAGCACTGACCTGTATCTTCTACACCGGGTTAATTACTAATTTTAACAGTAATCACAACATACTAAACGACGACAACAATCAGATAAACCTCAGCCACTACAACGACAATAGAACCCGTGAAGATCCGGGGTAGAATAGGTTTTCAGCAACCCATGCTTGCCGTAAAAGACGACGTCGCTTGTCGTAAGAGGCAAATAAAGGGATCGGGTGGTCAGGCTCGCTGATTTGATTGATGCATTTCATCGATCCAAATTGCGTGGATTGATGCTCAGGATGTCAGACTCGATTTTTTACAGACCGCCGTCATATAGGTGGGTTCGGCGTTAAACAACAAACAAACAAACAAACAAACAACGACAATAACAACCTAAACCTTAACCACTACAAATCACAACAACATCTACAACAGCAACGACAATCGCAACACCTACAACAACCACAATAACAACAAATCACAACATCTACACCAGCAACGACAGTCGCAAAACAACAACAACAACCACAATCACCTTAACCGCAGCCACAACAACCACAATAACAACAAATCAGAACCGCAATCAGAACAACATCTTACAAAAACAACCACTCTCACATTCACAATCGCCGCAACAACACTCACAAACAGAACAGCCACAACCACAAGAGAGTAGATATGTGTATGAACTAGACTCAAACATCACTTACTTCATCAGTAAGGATAAGATATATGGATTAACAACTTCTTTATTACAATCAGGATAATCGTTTCGGTGTAGGTTCTAACACCGTTATCAAGCAAGTCAATCACTTGCTTGATAACGGTGTTAGAACCTACACACAAACGCAGATCCTTATTGTAGTAAAGAAGTTGTTCATCCATATATCTTGGGGCAAGGTTGGCCCAGTCGTCTAAGGCGCCGCAGTTCGCTGTGCAGAGTTACGTCCCTTGGGTACGCCAGAAACCTATGATTGTGGGTTCGAATCCCGGTTCGCCCCGATTATGTTTCAAGGTTTGTCAGTACCATACCCGTGCGCGTGGGTTTCACCGAAGTGGTAAACATCTAAGACCTGCGGGCTTTCCTCCCACATTAAGCTGACACGCCGTGATATAACTTGAATACTGTTAAAAGCGGCGTTAAACACAACTCACTAAACTTAGTACTCCAACTTCTAAATGCCTATCAAAGAAGTTATCACTTACTTCATTCGCAAGCCATCGTGATTTTCTATGCCCTTGTCAAGTTTCTCCCAGAGCTGATGCTTGACAAAAACACCACAACTTTGAGGGTTTACATGCACAACTAACAAGTTTCACAATTCACTGTTGCTAAAATATCTTAACCAAATACACAAATTTTAACACGAACCATTGACAAAAAATAACCAGGAAGCGCCATTATAGCAATATTGCATCCGTGTAGAGGTTTTCACGCGACATGCATTTCTGTGTGAGTACTGATATGAATGTCTTTCCGTCAAAGCATAGCTCCCTTGTAACATCATACAGGTAAAATAGCATTTATTAAAGATTGATTTATATTTGTCAGGTGACAATTACATTTATAATTTTAGGATTGATGTGGGATCAAACAGAAATGTTATAAAATCGCTGGAAGATATTGTTCTTTTTACTACAGTGAGTGAGTGAGTTGGGTTTAACGCCGCTTTTTACAGTGTTAGCTTAATGGGTGAGGAAAGCCCGAAGTGATGCAGGTCTCAGACGTTTACCACTTCGGTGAAACCCACGAGCACGGGTATGGTGCTGACAAACCTAGAAACATAATTGGGGCGAACCGGGATTCTAACCCACAATCATAGGTTTCTGGCGTGCTCAAGGGACGCAACTCTGCAAAGCGAATCGTGGCGCCTTTGACGACTGGGCCACCCGTGCCCCCGACAGAATAGAAAGTCTGACAGCTGGACGCTGGACCCCGTGCTCGTGGGTTTCACCGAAGTGGTAAACGTCTGAGACCTGCATCACTTGGGGCTTTCCTCCCACATTAAGCTGACACGCCGCGATATGACTGGAATACTGTTAAAAGCGGCGTTCAACCCAACTCACTCACTCACTCACTCCTATTCTGTCTCGTCATCGAGCTGCTCGCCTTGCTTGGTACAAGTCATAGACATTGGAATCGACAGCAATGATCGCACTTGTTCTTTACTGATGAGTCTCGCTTCAGCTTCCAGTTCAAGGATTGTTGCACTCGAGTCTATAGACATCGAAATGAACTCTTCAATAATTAACCGTACGAGAAAGGGACCGATTTGTAGTTGTGTCGGTTATGGTATTGGGTGGCTTCAGCTTTCATCACTGAACCCCTCTGTCAATGGAAATCTGACAGGATAACGACAGAGACGCGAATTTCCTCAGCCACTTGTATTTCCTGCTTTGAATGTTATTGGACCTAGTGCTACGCTCCAGGATGTCAATTCCAGACCCCACCGAGCTCGTGTTTTTACAGATTTCAACAACCAAAATGGGATTGTAAGGATGCAGTGGACAGTTTACTCCCCGGGTCTGGCACCAATAGAGCATCCTTGGGTCGTCCTTGGTCGAAGGGTTCATGCTCCTCCTCCTTTCTTTTTGGACCTAGTGCTACGCTCCAGGATGTCAATGCCAGACCCCATGGCCACCGAGCTCGTGTTTTTACAGATTTCAACAACCAAAATGGGATTGTAAGGATGCAGTGGACAGCTTACTCCCCGGGTCTGGCACCAATAGAGCATCCTTGGGACGTCCTTGGTCGAAGGGTTCATGCTCCTCCTGTAAATCATCAACAGCTAATTCACTTTCACCGAGCCAGTGGCAAGCCGTCCCTCATGCAACTCAAAGGACACTTGTCAGTTCGAGGAGGCGACGCTGTACAAATACATTCAACGTAGAGGAGGCCCTACGCATTATTGACCATTATATTTGCCGATTTTATAGATGCTATCCCACTCACACACCGTATACTAAATCTGAGCCGACCAGTCCTTGTTTTAGATCCTTTATGCAGAGCGCCAGGCTGGGTAACAACAAGTACCATCATTTAACGTCTTTCGGTACGACGCGGCCGGGGATCGAACCCCGGACCTTCCACTCTCAAAGCAGCCTGGCAAAAATCGAGTTTGACATCCGGTGACACGGTAGCGCGTTTACTGCTGACGGATATAAGATACTGCTGACTAATATACGATGCATAACAACACAAATCCTGTTTGTATTACTATTCACTGTGACAAGTCATATTATATCACTGCAAGCGAAGACTTCACATTCAGATTAAGGTCCTGTGTATCCAAGTGCAACCAGGTCGACAAGACTGGTAGAGCAGGCACACGCCCCCTTTAGAAAACAGCTAATTGAATATATTACAAGGTAAGGCGTTCACTGAAGTTGACTGAAGCTTTATCTTTACACAAACATATACAAGTCAAAGGAATGCGGCATCGTCAGAAAGAAAAGTAGCTACTTGTAGTGTAACCACTGAGTCATAGTGAGTTGTTGTCATTATATAATATATAACGTGACTAGGTTAGCCCGGTGGCCGAGTTACCCATCCCTTCCCTACCAGACATTCCATTCACATTGAAGTGGCTTGTAAAGTTTATAGCCTTGAATATACCCTAAAACACGCGACAGCGTGTATAAAATGACAATACATAACAACAGCCACATCAATAGTGCATCACATGCTCGTATGAAGTCAAAGGGGACATGTACAGTTAATGTGGGTGAAAATCAAACACACTACATTGACGTAACTTCTTTATGCATAAAGGCGTTATAACCTGTTAATCGACCAGTATAGTTTTACGAAGTATGGCATTAAGTGCTTAGGTGACATTTCTTACCGTCTACTGTGCCAAGTCCTATGTTGAATGCGACCCCCTCTCTGGTACATAGTATCTCAGCTAGGCAGGAGCGATCACGTGTCTACTCTCAAAGGTAGACAACTCGTTCAGCTCCCGGAAGGCTATTAAAACCAGAATCCGAGGGACTGGTCATATATTACAATTTTATGCACTATTTCATGACCCCTTCCCCTCCCCCACCACTCACACACACGCAGACAAACACACACACGCACGCACGCACGCACACGCACACGCGCACGCTCACGCACACACATACAGGCGCAGGCACACGCAGGCACATGCAGGCACATGCAGACACACACACTCCCAGTTATATATGACCATTCCCTAAGAAAGGTTCGAATGTACAAAAGTTTTATTTGAAAAAATAGAACCGTGTCATTTTTTTAAGCCCCCATCCCCCAACTCCATATAACTTTGGCGACCCCCTCTTTCGCTGTCATTATTTCACACACACACACACACACACACACACACACACACACACACACACACACACACACACACACACACACACACACACACACACACACACACACACACACACACACACACACACACAAACACACACACACACAAAACACACACACACAAAACACACACACACACACACACACACACACACACACACACACACACACACACACACCTGAATGCCCACCTACAATAAATAAATAGTGGCTAGGCTTCCTGTTTATATTTACATGCAGTAACATAAAAATTTGACGCTCCTGGAAAACAATTCCCATCAACTTAACTCTGATCATTGTTCAACAAGTCCCATCAACCTAACTCTGATCGTTGTTCAACAAGTCCCATCAATTTAACTCTGATCGTTGTTCAACAAGTCCCATCAACTTATCTCTGATCGTTGTTCAACAAGTCCCATCAACCTAACTCTGATCGTTGTTCAACAAGTCCCATCAACTTATCTCTGATCATTGTTCAACAAGTCCCATCAACTTATCTCTGATCATTGTTCAACAAGTATCATCAACTTAACTCTGATCATTGTTTAACAAGTCACATCAACTTAACTCTGATCGTTGTTCAACAAGTCTCATCAACTTAACTCTGATCATTGTTCAACAAGTCCCATCAAATTAACTCTGATCGTTGTTCAACAAGTCCCATCAACTTAACTCTGATCATTGTTTAACAAGTCCCATCAACTTATCTCTGATCGTTGTTCAACAAGTCTCATCAACTTAACTCTGATCGTTGTTCAACAAGTCCCATCAACTTAACTCTGATCATTGTTTAACAAGTCCCATCAACTTAACTCTGATCATTGTTCAACAAGTCTCATCAACTTAACTCTGATCATTGTTCAACAAGTCTCTTCAACTTAACTCTGACTATTGTTCAACAAGTCCCATCAACTTAACTCTGACCGTTGTTCAACAAGTCCCATCAACTTATCTCTGATCATTGTTCAACAAGTCCCATCAACTTATCTCTGATCATTGTTCAACAAGTCCCATCAACTTATCTCTGAGCGTTGTTCAACAAGTCTCATCAACTTAACTCTGATCGTTGTTTAACAAGTCCCATCAACTTAACTCTGATCATTGTTCAACAAGTCCCATCAACTTAACTCTGATCGTTGTTCAACAAGTCCCATCAACTTAACTCTGTTCGTTGTTTAACAAGTCCCATCAACTTAACCCTGATTGTTGTTCAACAAGTCCCATCAACTTAACCCTGATTGTTGTTCAACAAGTCCCATCAACTTAACTCTGATCGTTGTTCAACAAGTCCCATCAACTTATCTCTGATCATTGTTCAACAAGTCTCATCAACTTAACTCTGATCGTTGTTCAACAAGTCCCATCAACTTAACTCTGACCGTTGTTCAACAAGTCCCATCAACTTAACTCTGATCGTTGTTCAACAAGTCCCATCAACTTATCTCTGATCATTGTTCAACAAGTCTCATCAACTTAACTCTGATCGTTGTTCAACAAGTCCCATCAACTTAACCCTGATTGTTGTTCAACAAGTCCCATCAACTTAACTCTGACCATTGTTCAACAAGTCTCATCAACTTAACTCTGACCGTTGTTCAACAAGTCCCATCAACTTAACTCTGATAGTTGTTCAACAAGTCCCATCAACTTATCTCTGATCATTGTTCAACAAGTCTCAGCAACTTAACTCTGATCGTTGTTCAACAAGTCCCATCAACTTAACCCTGATTGTTGTTCAACAAGCCCCATCAACTTAACTCTGACCGTTGTTCAACAAGTCTCATCCACTTAACTCTGATCGTTGTTCAACAAGTCCCATCAACTTAACTCTGAAAGTTGTTCAATAAGTCCCATCAACTTATCTCTGATCATTGTTCAACAAGTCTCATCAACTTAACTCTGATCGTTGTTCAACAAGTCCCATCAACTTATCTCTGATCGTTGTTCAACAAGTCCCATCAACTTAACTCTGATCGTTGTTCAACAAGTCCCATCAACTTATTTCTGATAGTTGTTCAACAAGTCTCATCAACTTAACTCTGATCGTTGTTCAACAAGTCCCATCAACTTAACTCTGATCATTGTTCAACAAGTCTCATCAACTTAACTCTGATCATTGTTCAACAAGTCCCATCAACTTATCTCTGATCATTGTTCAACAAGTCCCATCAACTTATCTCTGACCGTTGTTCAACAAGTCTCATCAACTTAACTCTGATCGTTGTTTAACAAGTCCCATCAACTTAACTCTGATCATTGTTCAACAAGTCCCATCAACTTAACTCTGATCGTTGTTCAACAAGTCCCATCAACTTAACTCTGTTCGTTGTTTAACAAGTCCCATCAACTTAACCCTGATTGTTGTTCAACAAGTCCCATCAACTTAACTCTGATCGTTGTTCAACAAGTCCCATCAACTAACTCTGATCATTGTTCAACAAGTCCCATCAACTTATCTCTGATAGTTGTTCAACAAGTCTCATCAACTTAACTCTGATCGTTGTTCAACAAGTCCCATCAACTTAACTCTGATCATTGTTCAACAAGTCTCATCAACTTAACTCTGATCGTTGTTCAACAAGTCCCATCAACGTAACCCTGATTGTTGTTCAACAAGTCCCATCAACTTAACTCTGATCGTTGTTCAACAAGTCCCATCAACTTATCTCTGATCATTGTTCAACAAGTCTCATCAACTTAACTCTGATCGTTGTTCAACAAGTCCCATCAACTTAACTCTGACCGTTGTTCAACAAGTCCCATCAACTTAACTCTGATAGTTGTTCAACAAGTCCCATCAACTTATCTCTGATCATTGTTCAACAAGTCTCATCAACTTAACTCTGATCGTTGTTCAACAAGTCCCATCAACTTAACCCTGATTGTTGTTCAACAAGCCCCATCAACTTAACTCTGACCGTTGTTCAACAAGTCTCATCCACTTAACTCTGATCGTTGTTCAACAAGTCCCATCAACTTAACTCTGAAAGTTGTTCAACAAGTCCCATCAACTTATCTCTGATCATTGTTCAACAAGTCTCATCAACTTAACTCTGATCGTTGTTCAACAAGTCCCATCAACTTATCTCTGATCGTTGTTCAACAAGTCCCATCAACTAAACTCTGATCGTTGTTCAACAAGTCCCATCAACTTATTTCTGATAGTTGTTCAACAAGTCTCATCAACTTAACTCTGATCGTTGTTCAACAAGTCCCATCAACTTAACTCTGATCATTGTTCAACAAGTCTCATCAACTTAACTCTGATCGTTGCTCAACAAGTCCCATCAACTTAACCCTGATTGTTGTTCAACAAGTCCCATCAACTTAACTCTGATCGTTGTTCAACAAGTCCCATCAACTTATCTCTGATCATTGTTCAACAAGTCTCATCAACTTAACTCTGATCGTTGTTCAACAAGTCCCATCAACTTATCTCTGACCGTTGTTCAACAAGTCTCATCAACTTAACTCTGATCGTTGTTCAACAAGTCCCATCAACTTATCTCTGATCATTGTTCAACAAGTCTCATCAACTTAACTCTGATCGTTGTTCAACAAGTCCCATCAACTTAACCCTGATTGTTGTTCAACAAGTCCCATCAACTTAACTCTGACCGTTGTTCAACAAGTCTCATCAACTTAACTCTGACCGTTGTTCAACAAGTCCCATCAACTTAACTCTGATCGTTGTTCAACAAGTCCCATCAACTTAACTCTGATCGTTGTTCAACAAGTCCCATCAACTTAACTCTGATAGTTGTTCAACAAGTCCCATCAACTTATCTCTGATCATTGTTCAACAAGTCTCATCAACTTAACTCTGATCGTTGTTCAACAAGTCCCATCAACTTAACTCTGATCATTGTTCAACAAGTCTCATCAACTTAACTCTGATCGTTGTTCAACAAGTCCCATCAACTTAACCCTGATTGTTGTTCAACAAGTCCCATCAACTTAACTCTGATCGTTGTTCAACAAGTCCCATCAACTTATCTCTGATCATTGTTCAACAAGTCTCATCAACTTAACTCTGATCGTTGCTCAACAAGTCCCATCAACTTAACCCTGATTGTTGTTCAACAAGTCCCATCAACTTAACTCTGATCGTTGTTCAACAAGTCCCATCAACTTATCTCTGATCATTGTTCAACAAGTCTCATCAACTTAACTCTGATCGTTGTTCAACAAGTCCCATCAACTTATCTCTGACCGTTGTTCAACAAGTCTCATCAACTTAACTCTGATCGTTGTTCAACAAGTCCCATCAACTTATCTCTGATCATTGTTCAACAAGTCTCATCAACTTAACTCTGATCGTTGTTCAACAAGTCCCATCAACTTAACCCTGATTGTTGTTCAACAAGTCCCATCAACTTAACTCTGACCGTTGTTCAACAAGTCTCATCAACTTAACTCTGACCGTTGTTCAACAAGTCCCATCAACTTAACTCTGATCGTTGTTCAACAAGTCCCATCAACTTAACTCTGATCGTTGTTCAACAAGTCCCATCAACTTAACTCTGATAGTTGTTCAACAAGTCCCATCAACTTATCTCTGATCATTGTTCAACAAGTCTCAT